TATGCCCCTGCCTGAAAGTTTCTGTGAGTAAATAAATCTTTGAAGCTGTCAGTTCTTCCCCAGGCTGTGCATTTCCTTTGACTTAAATGACTGATTTTCTTAACGCGAAAGTGTCTTTGCATGTGCACTCTTGAGCCTCCGTGGGGATGTGGTAGTAGTTATATGAATGGCAGATGACAGCAGTTGACAAATGTAGGTGATGTAAGTCAGCAGAATTGGTCTATAGCTGGTTAAGCACAGGCTTTGTGTGAAGTAAACAGCTAATAACACTAGCATGGTAAACACCAGAGACGCTCGGGTTAATTTAGATCTCCAGATTAAGAGATCACCCAAGGAAAAATTTACTTGTTACCTTGTCTTTTAAGTCCACAGGAGTCAGGGTAGAAATCTTGGCTCTGTGACAGTATTGCCCTTGGCTTCACCAGAGCCTGGGATCTTCCCTTGTGTTCTCAGATTATAGAACTGCCGGCTGCATTAGTTGTTTTGTCAGTGGGTGCATGTTGCTGGTGTGAAATGCCAATCTACAGAAAATGTCTTCAGCCTAAGAAAAAAGGAAAATACTTCAACCCCTTCTGGTTTGTTTTTTTTGGTCATGGTTTGTTTGTTTGATTTTGGGGTTTGGTGTTTGTGTTTTTTGGGGAGAGGGGAAGGGAGAGGGTGATGTTTGTTTGGTTTGGGTTTGTTTGGGTTTTTTCTACAACACAAATTCCCATCTGGAACAGAGCTACCAACAACCCTAAAGGTATTCTTGCCTTCAGCATTACTTTATTTCTTCCCTCAGGTGTTTGCTTGTCCAGCTATTGCATAATGTGAGAATACACATTGCACAGAGAGGCTCCTACTCTGGAGATACTCAAAAGCCATCTGGATCCAATCCTGAGTAACATGCTTTACTAGGGGACTCTGATCAAGTAGGGAGGTTGGACTGGATGACCTCCAGTGGTCCCTTTCAACCTCAACCATTCTGTGAGTCTGTGAATATTTCATGATGCAGGAGGGAGAGCTGGTGCTGTTATTTTTGTCTGCAGAGCAAACTAGCATTTGCTGTCTGATGAAAGAGCTGAAAGTGATATAAAAAACACTTTTTCTTAGTAATTACATGAACACATTTAATCCCAATACTTAAAATGTCACAGCCTATTTTTTTGAGTCACTTTATTGTTGGATAGTTGTAGTTAGTCAGTGCTGACGAATTTACCTGGATGTGCTTCAGTGCTCCTCGAATAATTGTTTTCTATAGCATGCCCTTCCCATGTCAGCTATCAGTCTGGTATTTGTGAAGCGCTGTTAGGTTATTGCTGCTAGCAGGTTACACCTTAGTTTGGGGATTTGCAAGTAGATGTTTTTCTGAGTTAAGCAACTATATCAGCAGTTAACCCACTTCTTGGTTTATTTAGTCTTGTCCAGATCAGATCTGACATTTTTCAGAGTTTGTTTTTATGTGTGGATTGAGGGGTTTTTTTGGTTTTTTATGCTAACTATTAAGTCAAAATCCTTTTTTTCCCCTTGTTCAATGGGACAGAGCATAATGATGACATAAGCCTGATCTTCCAGGAGCTCAGCTTGCAGGTGGGACACCTGAATCATTAGGCTGTACATAATGATTAGCTTCTGCATTATGATTCATTATTTACACATAGTGAAACTGTGTAAAACCAGAAAGAGGGATGAAGGGCTTGACACCTCTCTGTGCCATCTGTGGCAGTACCTCCAAACCCAGTACTTAAGTCAGCTTGATTGCTTGATGCGGGTGTTCCTTTTCTGATTCCAAATCAGAAAGTTCTTTCCAAATCAGCAATTCCAAACCAGATTCTTTGGCGAGTAGCAATTGCATGGGCCATCCCTTTATACTAATGCTATTCTAATTCAGAACCAAAATACAGTTAGAAATATGGTCTTTTCTAGAAGGTGGAAATTTTTATTCCCATACGTGGCCAAGCTGCATCTCCTTTATTACTGAGAGAGCAGCTCCTGCCTCTGGCCAGCCTGTGACGCCAACCCCCACTAACACCTGGCAGACTTACCTGAGCACTTGATGCTTCTTCTCCCAGTCTTGTCCTCACATGTAATCCTTCCCAAATCCACGTCATGACCATCGTTCAGATTCCTCCTTAACACCTTTTTGCTGCCATGTCTATAGAAATTTGGGCCTGGTTAGGCAGCTGCTGCTCTGCCTGTGGCTTTCATCCTAATTATGCCTCATTTCTCCTATGTGTGTCCCCTCTGTCTGTATCCATGTTCTGTCTGTTCTCTTCTGCTTCAGTAGTACTCTCTGTGAACTGGGTATGCCACCACTGCTCCACACGTGCTACCTGCAGCGTGGTATAGTGTGCTGATTCACAGCTAGAACCTCAGCCTCTGCAGGGTAATAAGGATATATAACACAGTTGTAATGGTTGTCCTTGGAGAAAACTTTTTATACTGCTGCTCTGTTTCTTATCTGAGGGAGTTTCATAGCTCTTTGTCAGAACTCAGATAACACTTTATCATTTATAACCCTTGCAACTCTACTGGGGTGACAACCTCTGTCTCCTAAACAGTTAGTGGACTAGTACATGACTGGCTGCTCGTGCTAGTGGGCAATGAGGCCAGTCTGTCCAGAGTATCACTTACAGTAGATTAATTGATGGGGCATTGTAGTCATTTAACTCCCTGAGCTGCACTGACTTTGCAGAAATGTTTCCTTTGCAGTGCCTATAGGCTACCAGGTAATTTAAGATCATCCAGCAGATGTTCCAACAGTTAGAGTTACAACAGATGTTACCACAGTTGCAGATGTAACTGAATCCATATTTGAACAGAGATGTCAGGCGAAAGAAGGGGCCATTCAAATGCTTTTGACTGTCACAACAGAAATGATAACTGGCCAGAAAAGTGGGGAAAAAACTGTTCCATCCCTGAAAATAGTGTTCTTTGTGTGGGAAAGAAGAGAATGACAGATCAGTTGTTGTGGGAACATTTGGAATATTTTGCTGAATCTGGTTTCCTTTAAAAATATGGAAAAATATAAAATCAAATGTTCAAGTGGTGATCTGGTATTTATATATTTCAAATACATCTAACTATATGTTAAAATACTAATTTATGGAAAGTTTTTGGGGGAAATGCTGCATATTTCACTGTTAGTTTGGTTCTTTCATTGCTGCCTCCAGGTTGTGGCTCTCTGTACTCACCAGGGGAGCTCCTTGGCTTTCCATGTTTTAGAAGCTGCTGTGCATAGCTGATGTTAGCCACATATGCTCTTCTTCCTTAGTTGCAGTCCTTTTTTCTTTTTTAACAGGATTATGGCAAATTTGCATTGACTGTGGATATACTACAGCAGAGAGAGAGCAAAGGAAAAGCAGTGAAGAGGTTCACTTATAGACATTTTAAACTCTACCATTCAAACAACACAATTCTAAGCCAACCCTGATTTGACTTTCAGATAAGTGGACCCATCTCCAGTTTTTGCTCCTCCAGGCATCATATATTTTAGTCTGCACACTGATGTGCTTTGAGATGTTCTTGTCACTTCTAAGGATCACTCATGTTAGCAAAAGGCTAACAAGACAGTTGGAAAATAACTGGTGTATCACTTCCCTCTCTAGAGGTATTGTCAGCATTACTAACTCTTAAGATGTTCCTCCTCTTCTGTCCCTGGGGTTTTTTTTCACCACTGGTGGCAAAATTCTGTGTTTGGTTGTCTGTGCTGAAGTCACCACTGCACATGGGGGTCACAGCTTCACTGAGGCTACTGGTCTTCAGTTAATCCACTGTATTAGCAACTTCACAGGGTTAGCTTGATCAACAATTTCTGTTCTGTTGCTGTTCTTCCACCTAGATTTTCATCCTTCTTTGTTCCTCTCTTCAGTTTTTGCTCATGCTGTTCACTTGTACTGCCTAATTCTGAAATGGGTGGAGAGGATCATAGTTTTATTCCTGTTTGTATCTGTAACTTCTAATTTGGAAATAGAATTTGAACCAACTTTTCCCACCCATGTTTTGCTTTCACTCATTTCTTCACCTCTCCTCTTTATGTTTATTATAATACTAGAAATGCTGCTCAGTGCAGTACAAATTATGATACACAGTAACTGAACAGCTAGAGAGATTGGTGGCCTTATGGACTTGCTTTGGATTTACACCAACTTGAGCAAGTGGGATCTGGTTCGGTCCTGAAGTGTATTAACTAGATCTACACTATAAGGATGATGCAAATGGTAGTGGTGTGGATAGACCAAACCAGTGGGTTTTATTGAATGTCTAACAGCAGGCATATCGCAGCAGGATCATAATTAATCAAGGGAGAATGCTGCTTTATATTTTCCAATAGTTTTGGGAAATTAGGAGTGGAGAATTCATCATGTGCTCTGGCACGAGAGACAGCTGACGCCTACAGAGTGTATTCCATTCAGCCAAACTGTGCAGCAGAGGTATTTCCTGAAAGTATCAGCTAACCTCTTTCTTGCCTTGCATGATTGTAACTGAAAGCAGAATCTAGATTACTGTGTCAGTCTGTGAAGGGAACCTCCTGCTAGAGAGCCGAGACTAAAAAGGAAGTGGAAGATAAAAGAAAATTAAAATTATGTTAAAGGCTGAGTTAATGATTTCTAAAAATCTGAGCTCTGACATGTACCTGTCTGCACTTTTACTTCCTGCTGGTCTTCATGCTGTTTATTCTGGACTAATTCCTGTTTAGCAAACATCTGTCAGGCATAATAATTTCAAGCATTAATCCTTACAGGAATTAGAGAGCTTGTTAGTTGATGACCTGAACTAGATAGTTTCTGGGGATTATTGCTATTTAAATCTCACCTACCTTTTAAACAGTGGCATCATGCTCTGCTCTGGCTTTCTTTTCTTTCTTTTTTCTTTCTTTTTTTTTTTTTTTTTCTGGCCTGGTATATCTTTAAATTGCCATCCCCTCTTTCACTCCCACAGCACGGAAGGAGGCAGAAAGGAAGTCCTGTGCTGCCTCTGACATGAGTGAGGAGGAAGCTACTAGTTTCTCTTCGTGCCAGACTTGCTCGTGCTGCCAACTGTGCAAATTGCTGCTGTAACACACAGTGGAGGCCAGGCTGGATAGTTCTTGCTGTGCTGGGAACCCATCAGGGAACTTTGATGGAATCACCACAGACTTTTACCTGCCCTTTTTTCCAGATTTCCCAGGCTTTTGGTAAGGTTTTTGCAAGGTTACTTTTTTGTCGTAATGAAGTGAGATGGTTGTGACCAGTCGATGTGTCTGTATCTTTTGACTCCTAATAACTTTTGAACTTATTTTCTGCTTTCCACTAAATTTACCAGAGAGATAGAAGTGTTAAAGTTATCAGGTTCCTTGAAATTTCAAGGATTTGAATTCCAGTGAAAAGGGAAATAAGAAGTGGCCTGTTGCAGGAGAACCATGACCCAGGGTTCTGGCAGCACCCGGCTGATGAAGGGCACCAAGACCCTTCTTCAGAGCAAGCCCATGCCTTGCCTCCTGCCTGGTGAGGGTGGGAGGGTCCAAGGGTGAGGGCCCCATTCAATGAAATAAGGCGTGATAAATTGCTTTGTGAGCAGCAGGCCAGGATGGGGAACTCCTTCATCTAAGGCGGGAGAAAAGAAGCGAAAATATCCCCACCATGGTGTTCGCTATGGGTTGGAGATAAGGGGCTGACAGTGAAGTTAACAGAGAGAGAGTGTCTGTTGGGAGCTGGGAGTGTTGCTGGCACTCAAGACGCGATATCAGCTTTTACAGCCCCAAAATGTTTGTTGAACTGGGACTGATGAGATCCCTTCCCTGAAGATTGTGAAATAGTGTGGGTTTAATGCCCCATATATGACTGTTGAAATGTGATCTGGGACTATGCAATAGGTAAAAAGGGGCTTAAAGAAATTCAGTATTTTTTTAAGTAGGGAATATAGTTTGCACAAGCAAGGACTGTTGCTTGTGTTGTGCTCATTGAGCCCAAACAAGGTCATCAGAGGCTCTGCTGTGTGGCAGTTCAGCAGTGGTCCTCATCAGAGTCAGATGCACTTTCCTCTAGGAAGGTGCTAACCAGCTTCTCCCGTTTTCTGAATCAACCTTTAGCAAAGCAACCTGCTGAGCCCTGTTCTATAAATTCAAAATGGAAATAGCGGAGAAAAATTCCAGTGATGGGAAATGCCTGTAAAATATACCAAGTGTTTGTGTTACCTTTAAAAGATGGCTTTGGAGACTTCTGAGGAAATACTGCTACTTCTTTTAGAAGACCAATGTTAAGTTTGTGCTATGATGTATATTACACTTTGTAGAAGAATTATGGTTGGTTTAAACGAATTTGTATCTTTACACCTTTTCCTTCTTTCAAGTGTTTGAGAACAGGTAGTGCTGTTATGCATCTGTCAGGACATGTTTGTTAAATACCTTACTGTTTGTGTACAAATCCTCAGCTGATACAAATGCCTGTTGCTCTAAAAGTATCTCTGTGTTAACTCTCTGGCAGCTCCAGGGATATGTCCCATAATGTTTAGGGTGGAATTTCCAAACTTGCTGATAAGCAGTAAGCCCTGAGGCCCCACTGGGGTCTAAATAGAACTGAGGTGCCTGATCTTTCCAGATGTTTGTAAGAAGAAGGAGAGCTTTGGTTTCTTGTAGTACTCCATTTCTAAAAGGCAGTTGCTAGTGGATGATGTAAGAGAGAGAAAAGCATTGGCTTTACTCATGCTGCTCAGCACGGTAATTATCTGTGATCACAGCTTTAAATACCACTCTGGTCCTCCTCATTGGAGGGGGACTGCTGACAAACCCGGTTGTCTGCTGGGTCCGCCTGCTGTTTTACTCCACTTTAGTTTTGATGAATCTTAGTAGGAGGCGGTTCAAATCCCCTTTAGGTTTAAAAACTACAGGACTTCAGTCCAGTCAGGCTAAAAAGACTACTGAAAAGGCAGTGCTGCTTCATCTCAGTTCTTCACGTCTGTTGTGAAGCCCTGGGCGATCAGAGTGCTGCAGTTGTGGCAGCGCTGGCCTGTTCACAGAACCAAAAGCGTGCTCGTGCTCCTGGCTGTTAGGAGGGGTCTGAGCAACTGAAACCACAGATGTGATCCTGCCCTTTAACCCACAGTGCCTGGCCAGCGCTCACTGTGGGAGGGTGACAGAGACATGGAAACCGCAATAGTTCAGGCAAAAATGAGTCACGAGAAAGCAGCCTGTTTTATTCAATTCCAGAAATGTTCTCAACCACTCAAAGTTAATTTATAAGCACCATTTTGCAGTGGTCTACTTTGTTTCTGAGCTTCAGGATGAGGTTGCTGGCAGTTTCCAGGACTGCATTTTGTTTGTGACACAGACCGGCCTTGTTTGCCTGTGGGTTTGTCTGAACACAAACCAGTGCTGTTTTGCAATATAAAGCCTGGCATTATCAGATTAATGCAAATATTACTTTTAATTATGTGAGTGCTGCTGTTTAGGTATAGCTTTACTTACCCTGCTGTATGTTTTTGACAGCGTTTAAAGTGTTTCTCTCTTGCAGTGGTCATTTTTCTCTTTCATTATATAAACTGATATTTCTGTTCCATGCAAATTCAAATCTGCTAATTTTTCCATAACCATATGCTTTGATCCCATGAAAATAACTCTTATTTTAATCAACAGCTTTAGTATCTAAAATTAGTATTTTCCTGCTTGCTAACTATTGGGTTTTTTAATTCCATTAGTCTCATCTTCACCATATAAATATCTCATTAGCATCATCTGAGTGATAATGTTTTGAAAGATATATCTGAGAAATTTTATATTTTAAAGAGTTAGTCCTTCAGCTGTTCTAAATGGGACAAAAGACACTGTGCCCTTAGAGCATAACTGTAAAGTACTTGCAAGTGACTTTGTTTCTAAGAAATATTTCCAGTAAATACTTGACTTAAAGGCTTATTAGTTTAAAAGGTGTGTGCTTAGTGCTCCTAGGCTGCACACAATTGCTCACTCAGAGACAGAGTCATTTGACTGATGGTCAAATAAGATTTTAACACTGGTTTTGTAAGGGGAAAAAATTGCGTGCAGTCATGTAGAAGAGGAAAGGATGTGGAAGAGGATGGAATGCCAACTTGGAGACAGCTTGACATCCTGTACCCCTGAGTGCCCACCCACACTATGACTGTAGGCCTTTTCAGGACATGGGATTCCTGCAGAAGGCAAATTGTCTCACCTCTGTTATGGATCCTTGCTTGGAAGAGACTGTCTCTCGCACTGACTCCCTAGAGAATTAAAGGGCTACTATTTCAAGGTGTCCCATTGACAGCCTGAAGTTCAGTGGATTTTGTCTCCTGGTATAAGATCCAGCATGTTTGCAGAGCCCATGCTGAAGCCACATACTCTAGCTGGGCTTCGGGATCTCTTTCTGGGTATCTCTGGTTTCAAGAAGTGGGCGGAGGACATGGGTGGTGGAACCACCACAGCTTCCACAGAGCACTGGAAATGCAGCTGCAGGCTCTGACAACCCCTTTCTTCCATCCACCACTCTGTGTCCCTAAGTACACACCGATGCCTTGCTTTCTTTGCCAAACCCCTTCCAACTTGTCCTGTGTAATCTCTTTGGGACAGGTATTAAGCTTTTTACTTCTGCTCACTGAGAGGTGCTGTGAAGGCACACTCTGTATGTGGCTTAGCACACTGGAGTCCTGATTTTGAAAATTGCCCTCAGGAGCTACCGTGTGACAAACTGCACAAAAACAAGGAGAGCTGCTGCCAGCTAGCCAGGGAACAGTTTCTTACTGAGGTTATGGTGCCAAACCAAAGCTTGGCAGTGCAGGTGGGGTATTAAGAATTGCCAGGAAGAATTACTTGGGAATAGTCTGTAGAGTAAAACTAATTTGCAAAATATATTTGGTAAATAGTTACAAATAACCACACCTCTGAGAAAATGAGATTGTCTGTACACAATAATATGACCAGCAAAAGAGGAATGATTTATCAGATATATTATTCATTTTGAACTGTTCACTGATCTCTAGCCAAGAAGCAGATACCACAGAGGTTTATTAGTCAGTATATCAGTGCTGTGACTGGCACCCAGTACTGAGAGATCATACAGTCTGTGGAGGACAAGTGAGAGGTAATTAAATACATAAATTCTAGTCTCCAGAGACCGTGAAACTAATGCTGTCAGCTTGTGGGTTTTTTCATTGGCTGACTGATGGTAAAGCTCATAGGGAGCTGAGCAAAGCTGAAACCTAGCCTAGGTGTGAACTTGTCCCCAGCTGCTCAAGATGTAGATTGCTGGTAGACCCACTGATACTTTCCAGGTGTAATTTCCCCATCAGATTCCCTGGATCTGAAGAATCTCTGAAGTTTTAGAACAGAAGTGTTTAATCTGCGACTTCCCAGACTAAAGAGCCTGTGAATGCTAACTGAGAAAATGAAGTCTCTTGTCATTAAGTTTAAAGTCACTAAACAGATATCTGCATCTCAGCAGAGACACTTAAGATTAAAGGTTGAAGAAAAGGTTGACAATCACTCTCTGGAGTGTTTATTAATTGAATCTTTGACTTTGTTCTTGTCCTTTCAAGTATTTCCTTGTAGCTTAGAGGCAAGAAACAAAGTGCCTTTGAACCCAAGTTGTTATCTATAAAGGGGATAGGATAGTCTTACTTCCTAGGGGTCTGAGTAATAAATGCTCTAAAGATTGTCTAGTACCTCAATAATGTGGGGATAGAAAATCAAAATCTAAACCTGACAGCTATCTAATATAGATACTCTGTCTCCTTGGTGATAAAAAGGAATTCTAGACAATTGCTAAAACCTGCATTTTACTTATCTAATGGAATCGTGGTAGACCAACCTGTCTCCTAGAGTGACCTGGAAATGCACAAGTGTGTGTGGAGTGCATGGAGTGGGGAGAGATTTATAATTAAGAGTCCTCACATATTCTTTTTTACTACTAAGTGATTTGAAGCCTGAAATGAAAAATAAAAATGCTGTGATCAAATCTAAAAATTGTTGTTTCCTGAAAGGGAAGATAACCCCAGGACCCAACTCTGCCTTGCTTGTACATGGTGATTCCATTCAGGTAGAAAACTATTTTAAAATTTCAGTTCCTTTTTTAAGGAAATGGCTTTTCAGACCTAGGGATCATGTAGTTTCAGCAGCAGTCTTGAAACAAAAAAAAATTCCCATTTGTACTGACTCTCACCATAGTCTGAAATTTGTCTTTTTATGAGGGA